TCTGAAGTTGATGTTCCTGCCGAGTTCCGCAGTGATCTACAAACAATTTTTCGAGATTTTACCAGTATGATTACAACTGGGAATAAAGTAGGAGCTGTCAATTATATAAGCCTGAAAATACGGTTAGAGAAAGACATTATTGTCAACCGTACTCCCTATCGCCTGGCTATCAGTGAAAGGGAGGCAGTTCGAGAAATAACAGAAGATTTGATGAAGAATAACATTATCAGATCAAGTGAATCACCGTTTGCAAGTCCTGTGCTGCTTGTTAGAAAAAAAGATGGCTCATTTCGAATGTGCGTAGACTTTCACGAACGACTGGCCTTGGATATGGCTTCCGGTTTCCATCAGATCCCGATCAAGGAAGGATCCATTCATAAGACTGCATTCGTCACGCCGGATGGTCACTTCGAATATCTGCGGATGCCATTTGGGCTTGCCAATGCACCGGTTGTATTTGAGAGAGCCATTAACCATACCCTTGGTAATCTGAAGGATTCAATTGCCCTAGTTATCTCGACGACATTTTGATACCTAGTGCAACTCCGAAAGAGGGGTTCGATAATCTTCGGCGTGTACTAGAGGCACTTTCTATCGCGGGTTTTTCTTTGAATATTAAGAAATACCGCTTTCTTCAGTCATCCTTGGAAGAGAAGTCTCAAATGAAAGATGAGGCACTAGTGATGTCAGCGGTTCCAGATAATGTCAAACAAGTCCGTCATTTCATGGGCTTGGCAGGATACTTCAGAAAGTTTGTTCCCCACTTTGCTAGCGAAACAACATGCATTACTCGTTTAACGAAACAAGGTGTACCATTTCAATGGGGCCAGGAGCAGGAAAAGGCACGCAAATATGTCATGGATTGTTTAACGTCTAGACCATTGATGGTCGTATACAATCTAGAGTTACCCACTGAACTGCATACCGATGCAAGTAGTCTTGGATATGGCGCCATACTCTATCAAAAACACAAAAACCAGCCGAAAGTTGTTGCATATTTTAGCAGAAGGACAACATATGTGAGGCCAAATATCATTCATACGAATTGGAAACTTTGGCGGTATTACAATCCTTCAAACATTTCTGTACTTACCTACTTGGCATAAAATTCATTGCGATCACCGATTGCAACTCTATCAAAGCTACAGCTACAAAAAAGGATCTGGTGCCCTGAATAGCCCGTTGGTGGGTTTATCTCCAGGACTTTAACTTCGAGATCGTGTACCGCAAGGGAAGTAGTCTTCCACATGTAGACTTTCTAAGCAGGAATTCACCCAATGTGATTTTTAAAGTTTCACATAATAACTGGGCATACACTAAACAAAAAGGGAATGAAAAGATTCAGAGTTTATTACAAAAACTGAAGGATGGCAACCTCGATACGAATCAGTATGTTGAAAAGAACGAAATGTTATATCACAAACACAACAATGAAGATGGGACAGTTAATTTGCAATGGTTCGTTCCCAGACAAAGTCGTTTGGGCCTCCTTCGCATATTCCACGATGAACAATGTCATGTTTGATACGAGAAAACATACGAGTCGATTCCACGAATGAGGCAATTCGTCAAATGTTACATCAAACACTGCGTTATTTGTGCTGTGAAACAGACAAGGACTGGACCTTTACAGGGATTTGTGCAACCGGTCGAAATTCCCAGACAACCATTACACATGTTGCACTCGGACTGCTTGGGTCCATTACCGGTGTCAACTGAGGGCTTCAAGCATATTTTGATAATTGTAGATGCGTTCACCAAGTATTGCACCTCATGCCCATGGAAACCGTAACTACTGCTGAGTCTCGTGGAAAACTACAACATGTTTTATCGTTATTTGGGACACCTAAACGAATAGTGATGGATGCTGGTACTTCTTTCAAGAATACAACTTTTCCGAAATATCTGGATCATTGGAACATCGAGTATCATTTTGTCACTACTGATATACACAGAGGAAACAGACAAGTTGAACGGTACGTGCGGACTGTTAGAAATTTGTTGAGGATTGAAACCAAACTGAAATCAGAATGGCCGAGTGGATTATGAAAAATTCAACTTGTTCTTAATTCGACTGTTCAGAAGTCAACAAATTCAAGTCCGCTTCAACTTCTTCTGGAAATACAGGGTTCAACTTCACTAATACAAGCTCTGTTGATAAGCGTGTCTAAAGATCTAACTCCGACACGCAACCGTTCTTTGGACCGACAACGAGTGGTCGAAAAACTGTCCACAGTACGCGACCTTGATGATGTTAACAAAAAAAGAAGGGACAACGTGAATTACTCAACAGGCGATTTTGTACTTATGCATCGCGACTCCCAAATGCACATCAGTAAGAGCGACTACGAGTTCCTTGGACCCTATGTGGTAGTGCAGAGTTTGCCAATTGGTCGGTACTAAATCAAAAAAGTTGGCACTAATATTATCACCAAAGCAGCAAAGGAACAGCTCAGACCATGGCCAACACAGTGGTCTTTGAGCGTTGACCTGAAGGAGATTTTAGAGTTTTTGGAGTCAGATAGTGGCTCAGAGGCAAATGATGGTGAGTGAACTTTATCACTGTCCCGCAGTGGTAGTATAAAGAAAGATGAATCTTCTGTTTCTGCTTTGTTTTCGGTCTCTACTCCGTCAGTGATAGAGCCGGGTAAAGGCTGAGGTCTTTACATGTTTTAAATGAAATTGTTTTCGGTCTCTACTCCGTCAGTAATAGAGCCGGGTTGAGGTCTTTACATGTTTTGAATGAAATTATTTTCGGTCTCTACTCCGTCAGTGATAGAGTCGGTTGAAGGCTGAAGTCTTTACATGTTTTAAATGAAATTGTTTTCGGTCTCTACTCCGTCAGTGATAAAGCCGGGTGAAGGCTGAGGTCTTTACATGTTTTAAATGAAATTGTTTTCGGTCTCTACTCCGTCAGTGATAGAGCCGGGTGAAGGCTGAGGTCTCTACATGTTTTAAATGGATTTTTTTTTGGTATCTACTCCGTCAGTGATAGAGCTGGGTGAAGGCTGATTCACATATTTTTTATTGCAGTTCAAGCATTGATTTTGCTTTACACATTCCTCTTTGAGTGAGAAAGGCGTCGAGAGCGTCGCCCTTGTCAGGAAGGTCGTATAAGAATCGATCACCCGATGAGGAATATTTCGTCGAGCCGCCGCCGGTCATGGGAAGCTAAGACAACGAATTATAATTACAATATCGAAAGGTTTTGTTTTTGTGATGATTCAACACAATATTGTTAGGAAGATTATGAATTCATGTGGAATTGGTCGCGGTGGTAGTGCGCCCGACTCACGATCTGAAGACCTCGGGTTCGATTCCTGCCTCGACCAGATATTTTTCTCGAGAGAATTCATCTCGTTGAAGCTGGGATAATTCTGCAGTCGTGTTACGAATCACACGTTAAAAGGTAAGACCTCGTTAGTCCTTAGCTCGCACAAGTTTCTCAACTTCTGAGAGTTGTCGTCCGTATGGGGGCGACAGCTGATTAACGGAAAAACAGATTTTAAATAGATATAAACAGATTCAGTGATTTTCCAGGCTCGGAAACAGACGCCGCTCTTTTATTTAGTTAGTATTGTTATTATATAACTATAAATTATTTCGTGACTATCATACGAAGAACAGTATTTTGGGGTCAATTTTGCTAGTACCGTCTGATAAAATTGATACAGATTTGTCAATTTCCAATTCATATGATAAAAATATTCAGTTCACAGTTGAAAAGGATACTGATAACAGCATTCCGTTCCTAGATACTAAAGTAATAAGAACTGAGCAGAATACTTTGATAACTAAATGGTACCAAAAAATCCATATGCAGCAAAAAAATCATCAATTTCAATTCTTTATCTTTCCACTAAAATGAAAATCAACTCAATTATGTCACTGAAGAGCAGGATAGAAAAAATCGCTCATCTATGTTTTCGTTAAGAATGTTTATGCGATTTCAGAAACATATTATTCTAAAACTCTTATCCAAAAGCATTAGTAAATAAGTAACTTTTTTGTGATACTAGACACCATCCTATCATACTTCTATCAAATATAATTCCAAATTCATCAAGTTAATAAAATAATACAATAATTTTCAGGTCATTACCAAACATTCAAAATCTCACTTCCAAATTAGTAAATGTTTTCAAAAACAATAACATTATAATAGGCAAAAAGAATATCTCACTCATTTTTAAATTATACAGCAGAGTAAAAACTCCAGCTAAAAATGAAGAAAAATCTAATCATTACATCTAATAGTTTACAAAATTCCTTGCATGGAGTGTAACAAATTATATATTAGACAAACATCAAGAACTCTAAAAAAGTCGCATCGTTGAATTGAAAAGAGTTTTTTTGGAAATGGTACACATCAACAATGATGATAGATCTATAAATAAAAGAACTGATTTGAACAATCTTAGTCAAATATATACTCACATCCTCAAATGTCAAAAAGAAAAAATCACTTTATTTCAAAATTTTTCTCCTTAAAATTATTGTCACTGTCATTTACTTCCATCAAAAAAAGAAATGTTTCATGTTTTGTGGAGATACTAATTTTCTTTCTCAATCTCAAGTTAGTAAGTAGTTCCGTTTGTGATATAAAACATATTGTTAATTAATATATTACAGTTGTCCTGAGGAAGGTGGTAAACACCACCGAAAGCTTGACAAAAACAAAGAGTTTTCTTTGAACAGCTCTCAAAACCTGTTCAGTACGCTCGTCTCACAGACGAACTTAAAATTTGAGTTAACATTTCCGTAACAATATTGTTAAAGAATGCAGTAACCAATCTTAGCAAATATATCAGCAGCTTCGAAAATATCATCTTCGCCATAAGTTTTCCAGTTTAATTGGTTATTATGTAGGTCCAATAATAACAAAGTAACAAATGGTGCGAATTTCATTTAGACCAAAATATAGATCATTCAAACAGTTATGGATAAAAGTTCATCTCAGGTAAAAAAATCAATTGTGGTATATTTGTACGATTGATTACCTTTTTCGAAGTTCTTCCATCGCCGACAGCCTATCATTAGCCAGAGTTCTCCAACGTACGACTTCTTCTCTAGTCGACTGCAGCTGAGCCTCCAAACTAGAAATTTTTGTATGCAATTCAGATGTATGTTTTTCCAAGGCATGCACTTGTGACATATATTGCTCTAAAGCGGCTCTATTTGGACGGGATTTTGTGAAGTTCTGTTCCAGGCTGAAATATGTTTTGAAATTCAAGAGAACTGATAATAATTTGTTCAATTCGAAATTAGATATTTTTGCATTTACATTTTCTTACTGATATTTTCAATCAGTTTTTTTCAAAATATGTTAAAAATGCAAATTCAGATTTCATTTTATCTGAAGTTACCCTCATATGGATGAAAAGGGATACCCTTCAATGGGTATTGTTCACACCTGAGTTAACCCATTACCGCAAAAATATTGAAACTTTTGTTAAAAGGGAATAAATCTGAAAATTGTAGATAGTGGAGATGTGAATGATCAAATTTTCTAACCTTAACTTCTTTTGTTTCTCTTCTGTCAGCAATTTTTGAATGTTCTGTAATTCTTCCTGCAATATTGCAGCTGCCATACTATGTTTGTCTCTATCTTCCTTCAGTAATGTTTGGTATTTCACAATTTCTTCATTTTTCATCTTCAAGTTATCTTGTAAAGTTTTCACAGTATCCTTTAAAATGAGTGTCAACATAATGATAATAACATCTAGCAAATCACAAAATTTCATCAAATATACATTAGTTCAACCCAAATAAGAAATATACAAATTATTGATTTTAAAATTATTTTTAAACGCCAGAAATGCTATGTAGTCGGTAATAAGTGTAGTGAGCAAATTTAATTGTTCTACAAAGATCGGTTTACAATCCATTTTTTCTATTTTCCATGTGTTGATAATATAAAAATTGCTGTATGAATGTGAATAATATCACATTATTTGTTCAGTATGATAAATGGATATAAAATTCGATAATTATGTAGGATCAATAAAATACGTTACCTAATTCTCAATCAAAAAAATACATCCACAGAGTTTTGAAGAATCAAATAAATGAAAACCTAAAACAACTTATACATTTTTAAAGCCTCAATGGTGATCGTGAAATCAAATTCATTTTGATTTCATATTCGCAAAAAGTTCACCACTATTCAAGTTGAACTCCAAATCTAATTCATGATCGCTCATAATTATGTAAGTGTTTTTATTCATTGAAATACTCGTTTTATATTGTTAACTCACCGTGGTATTACTTATTCGGAATTTAATTTAACGTCTGCATGAAAAAATATATTGTATTCATAAATTCCAGATAAATAAAACTTTGTTAACATTGTAATGAAATTTATTGAAATAATTCAATATAGACGTACAGAATTTGTAGGCAAATAAATCATTTTTAATACAAATGGTGTGATATCACTACCCCCTGAGGGGGCGATATCTATAATATATTTATAACTTTACTATTTTGAATGTGAATAACCGATTACGGAGTTATTGATGTATGAATTGGAGACTAGGAGTAACGATAATTCGTAACCAAAAGAGGATTGAAACAGCTCCAAAGTTATCAAGGTTTACGAAATATTTGTAATGTGTGAGAGACAGACATTGTTTACGGAAATGAATCGTATGTAGAATAACATTGAACCAAAGTATTTGACAAAAAAGCGCAGTTCTTCAATTTTTCAACGCCAACGTCAGCCGTAATTTTCATGAAAAATTATTTTCTGATAATCCGACCTGTTGACAATATCTCAGGGAATTGGTTGAACATTTCCTTCCACTGGAAGTGTAGATAGATAGAAATCCACGAGAACATTCGTGAAAATGTTCTTTTAAAAATCAACCATCAATCACCTCAGAAGATATAAGTTTCACCGCTATAAACCGAAGATGAGTATTACATAAATTAAGTGAAGATGACCCGAACAGAAGAATGAAGTTTTGTGAGTTTATGTCTGAACTTTTGATTGCAAATCGAAATTGTATAAAAAGATTATTTTGTTTTAGTAACAAATGCACTTTTTAGAAGAGAAATGTCAACAGCCAAAATATGCAATATTGTTCAGATATAAACCCACATATTTTTCGAAAAGATCACACTCAAACTCTTCATGAAATAAATGTCTGGGGAAAAATAATTGGAAATGATATGAAATTGATACTTATCTATTGCAAAAGATGTTTTTTTTATCTTTCCAATTACCATTTATTTAAAAAATGTGACATAGTATGGCGAAGTTACGAAATTTCTAGTCCTACATTAGAACATCAATAACACCGCAGCCGGGTAATCGAAGATTACCGGCTCCGGAGCGACTTCATTGATTTCAGTGGCGCATTTGCTTTTTCAGCTGCAAAACCAGGAAAAACCTGCAGCACCACATCATCTGAAGATCTTGATCTACCACTCTTATAAAAAAAATGTTGGGTGTCTCCAGAATTGAAATATCTTTCATACGAAATATATCAAGACCCTCCTTTCCATGTGATATAATGGCGCTATCAACTTTTATTTTTTACTCTGACTCTGATATCTTACCTCTTTCGAAAGTTAAGAGGATTGGGGTACTGTTTACATCCGCACTATATAACCTGCTTGAATAAAAATTATTTTTTACTTGCATTCAGGAGTGCATTTAATAGTCGCATTTTTTTTAGTTATCTTGATTCAATTTAACGATTCAGAGTTTTAACAAATTCATGTATTTTCAGCTATCACAAAAAGTTTTATCACTATTACAGTTATTATGGAATTCCTTTATGTACAATAAAGTTGCAAATTATAGTTGCAATTTTCTGGCGATACATGATTCAAGACCACGGCTCAGAAATTTAATAAATTCAGATATTTTTTGTTGTCACCGAATGTTTTATCACTTATATAATTTCTATCGCCTGTGCGACTTGGAAATAAAGCTTTTTAATCTCGAAAAATATGTACGTGAATGATAGACTAACTACTGTTAGTAAGGCTGTTAGCTCACTTTTAATTTATGATATACAGGGTGAGTCAACAAGATTCTCTCGGTCCATTGCTATCAGAGGAAACAATTTTAGTTGAAGAGTAATTTACATGTACATATTCTACGATAATCATGAAAATATTCGGTTGAATAAGGATTGATATCATGATTGATTGATTTGACCAAAAAACGGTTATTGCGATTCAATAGTTAGCCATATAGCCTTGCAATTTTTTTGTAGGTAATATTTCCTGAATAAAATACAACTCATATCATTCGCAATAGCTTTCCAGAAGTGGAAATTTTCAAAACGGATTACGAAGTTTTCGAGATTATCCATTACAACAAATAATACAAATATTTTCTCTCCATAAAATTAGTTTAGATCAAAATCATTTCTTGATTATATTTATTTTATTATAACGTATATATCCTACAGATGAAAAGAAAATACAAAGTGTATGGGACCGACCTCTCCTGAACATTATAACTGATAAACTTCTGAAATCTACAAGTGTATACGATAAGGCTCGTCTGAAAGCAGCAATGATCAAGGAATCGGGTGCTTGGCTGAATGCTTTACCTGTTGCATCTCTTGGAACACTATTAGACGATGAATCTTTCAGAATAGCAGTAGGACTTAGGATGGGTTCATCTATTTGTGTTTCTCATACTTGTGTTTGCGGTAGTATAGTTGATGAGAAAGGTACACATGGTTTGAGTTGCAGGAGAAGTGCAGGGCGTACATCTCGACATCACCAAGTGAACGACATATTGAAACGAGCTATGTTGTCAGCGGATGTTCCTGCAATTCTGGAACCCT